AGTGATATTGGAGTAAGTTTCCAGTCGGGAGAGAAAGGTGGAGTGGTTGATGGTGTCGAAGGCTGCAGTGAGGTGGAGCATGATTAGGATGGTGAGGTGACCGTAGTTGGCGGCGAAGAGGTCATTGGTTATTTTGAGGAGGGTTGTTTCAGTACTGTGTTATGAGCGGAATCCAGATTGAAATGGTTCGAAGTGGTTGTTAGTGGTGATTTGGGTTTGAATTTGAGCAGCAACAACACGCTCCAGGATTTTTGATAGGAAGGGGAGATTGGCCATGATGTCGGGGTTGAGACCAGGTTTCTTGAGGATGGGGGTGACAGCACTTTTGAGTGTTGTGGGGACTGATCCAGATGTGAGGGAGGAATTAATGATTTTGATGATGAGTGGAGTGATGGATGGAAGGCAGGTCTTGATTAGGGATGATGGCGAATGATTGTGGTGAATTGTAACATTAACAGGGGACAGAGAAGAGAAACAAGACAGTGACTGAGAGTGTGGATGGGTGGGGGCGGGTGGGGGGTTGAGGGGACAGGGGAAGTAGTGAAGTTACTGTAGATAGTGTCAATTTAGCTTGAAAGAAAGACTGGAAGGAGTTGCATTTGTCCACTGTGAAGGTTGCAGAGATGTTTTTGGGGGGTTTGAGGAGTTTATTTATTGTAGACAAGAGAAATTTGGGGTTGCTGGAGCTGGAATGGATGAGGTGTGAGAGAAAGGTGGACCAAGGTCTCTATGAAGGAGGTAGATGATGGTTGTGAGAAGGGGAGTGGGACCAGAGAGTTTGAAGGTGAGATGTTCAAGAGACATAACAGCAGGGGTGGAGATGTTTTTTATTTTGATGTCCTTTCTTTAGATCGTGGCCACACCACCTCCCCGTCCCTTTGTGCGAGTCTTGTCTGCGTAGTTAAATCCTGTAGGCGTGATCTGGTTTAGTGAGAAGTAATCCAGAGATTTGTGCCAGGTTTCTGTGATGCAGAGGAAGTCCAGTTTAATGTCAGTGATGAATTCGTTCAGGATGAGAGTTTTATTGCTTAATGATCGAGTATTGAGCAGGGCCATTTTCAGGTGACGTTTTGAGATTTGTTGGGAGGACAGGGGGAGAGGACGGAGGTTGAAGAGATTTACCTGTGAATTTTTGTGATGACATGGTGGGGAAATGCGTTTTGACCACACTGAGGGGATGTAGTTTGGTTCTGAGAATTGGGAAGAAAATAGACGTATAGAGCGTTTATGTGAAGGAAGGGGTAGTGACACGTGAGGCCGCAAGAGGGAGCTGGTGAGGGTAATTGAATCGGGAGTAGCCGTGGTGGGCGGAGAAGAAGACTTCTGGGAAACGATGTGTGGTGTAAATAGTCACGCACATGAGGCAGACTGTACAGCATGTTGTAGGTTGGCTGCTAAAAACGAGCTACGGTGCACTCCATTGGTCCTATAAAAAGAGAAACAGTTCCATTTTCAATGAAACCAAAGTTGTGAGCATGGCAGGTGGACTGGAGCCAGGTGTTGATGCTTAAGCGCTCTGAGTCATGGGACAGAGTTGGTAAAGCACTGAAAAAATGATTTACCACAACTTTTTAAAAGGCTAAAAAGTTCAATAAAATCCTTTTCTGTCTGCTCAGATTCCCGACGAGCTGTGTCACTAAGGTCAATAAAGACAAGCACCCAGTTTATGGAGGATGGGAGTGAGTGCAGCAGTTCAGGTAGTTTGCTCAGCAGTGTCGGGACTGCTGCGGAGATGACGCTGTGTTTTTCGGAGTTGGCGTAGTGAACCAGACTAAAAGTGTTACTTTAAAACAAATCAGTAATACAATTGTATTCTGAAACTATGGTGTAAGATAAGTTAAAATCACTTTAGGAGAGAGTCCGTGCTGCCGTAAGTTGCGCCGTTGTCGTAATGTGTGTAGTGTGTAGAAGTTTTTGTTTACCAGGGTAAAGTTAAACACTTCACCAAAACACAAACCCGTCATTTCCTTTCAAATGCTTCTGAACAAATGCCATCTTTATCTTCATATCTGTGCAAACCAGTGATGTAAAGGTGAATAAAATAATCATAGATATACAGAAAATTTGCTAAAAAGAATAATGGCCTGATCATTGCAAACATACAGTACGTGTATCCTTCATGTCCAAATTTAAAAGTCACAACACTTCATTTCCAAAGATACCGAATATGATTTGTGCAGAAAATTTCATTTGTACATAAAATTGTACAAAAGTAAACACTTTACATTAAATTGTGACAGCCATTCAGAATGTTATCCTAAATCTTACAATTAGAATAATAAGTGAATGAAAGTAATTGTTGACACATGTGACATTGACATGTATGAAAAGGGTTTTTTCCAACTTCCCTTGGAGATTGGAAATTTCCCTAAGAGAAAGTAACAAAGTAAATTAAGTAAATTAAATTAAAGAAGTCAATTTAATGGATGCGTTCAATATTTTGCAACCAGGACCCATGTTTTTGTGTCAAACTGTGTTATTGGTACAACATTTTATTAAATTGGTCCAGTATTGAGGGATTGTGCTGCAGTTGGCAGCAGCAAAACAGGGCTGCAACGTAATCCTTGCGAGCAATTGTGCCCCGTCAAAGTATATCCGCTAAAGTGCCACTCACAGGCTCATTAGTAGTGTCTGACACTTGTAATAACAATCTGAGCCTGATCAAAATGTTGTCCCAATTAGTCAAATATTTGTTTATCATCCTCACTTAGCTAACACAGCCACGGAACTATCCATCTCTGCCGTGTTTGTACCTTTTGGAGATTTCTTCATGCAAATACCGGACCAATAATGGCATGCTGTGCAGTTAATTGTATAGAGAGACCAGGAAACCTGTGCTCCAATTGTTGAGTGAAATTGTAGTATTTTATTTATGTGTTAACAATAATTAGCAGGTATGGATACATAACGTTAGCTTGTTACCTTAACTACTTAACTAGCTAATTAGCCATCTTCAAGCTTTGCCAAGTTGTGCTAATGATGCTACAATAACGTGTATGCTAACAGCAGTTTTTAAAGAAAAGAAATGCACAGAAGCCAAAACGTATTAGGGACGTGTTTGAATTTAGGAAGATAATACTTTGGAACAAAAGGAGTCTGTGGGTAGTGTGAAAGTAATGGTCCACCTCAGCAGTTAGCTGATGTTCTACAAATTAATGTTAAACTTGCCAAACAGGCATTGTTAGATTTCGGTAGGTAACGATACTGGAATGGAGTGACTGTTTTTGGAAGGAAAGACATGTGGAAATTAGAAAAGGTGGCTGCACCTGGACTGAGGGATGGACACAAATTGTTTTGAGTTGAGGGGGGAGCTGCAGGGGTTGGTTGTTGTTCGTGAAGAAGGGTAGCTGTTCCTGAGTTGGGTTAGATGTATGACAGCCGCCTCTGGATTTGTCTAGGCTTTTCAGCTGCACATATTTTTAACCTGTGACAGCCCCTGCTTAGATTCATGATTTCATTCATGATACTTTTGTGACAACTCAAAGGTAAGGTGACCAGATTTCTGAAAAGAAAACCAGGGACCTTTTTGGTTTGGTGGTCAGTATGACATAAAACTATATATGAAACAAAAAGGGGGAACATTTTCGGTTTTATCATCTGTCATATATAACTCTTCTGAATGAAATCAAGTCATTTTGAGGCAGAAACTACCTTTCAATCAACAAGTAGAAGCTGCAAGTACTTTCTGGCAAGTGAAATAATGCATGTTATGTTGTTTTGGCCATTTATTTATTAGGTATTTCAACAGGTAAAAAAGGACTGGATTGGTTTTACACAGCAAGTTAAATAATGTAGATTCATAAGGATAATTGCAAAAGAGATCATGTCTTTATTTTATAAATAACTCAGCTGTAAGCCATGTTAATTATAGGCTAGAGTTTATTTTCCAAATATTAACGCCTACCAAACACATAATCCATCGGTAAAAACAGAATTCTATTATTGCCTATGATCACGTAAATGTCAGGCCTGGTTACACTATAAACTGCATTTATTTACATTTATTTGGCTAAATTAAAAAATAAATTGTAATTATTCCGTTAAAAGAAACATTATAAGTATCACAAAGACTTACCTTTGCTATTACCTGGGGACATAAAGTGAAGTCTATTTGCACGTTACGTCTGTTTGATCCAGATAAAAGCAGCTGTAGACGTAAAGAGACTGGGCGATACAGCAATAACTCCCGCAGACCTGTCTGCTCTGCTGTCCAGTTTTTCTGGCCACATACAATCTGATTTCAGGTCTGTCAACAACTTAAACAATCTATGATTAACACACTGTTAAAAACGGGGACATTTCCAGGGACAGCTCCAGCCGGAGACAGGCCACCAAAATCGGGGACTGGCCCTGGAAAATGGGGACGTCTGGTCACCCTACCCAAAGGTGCATTAATATTCTTGATGAAAAAAAGTCAAGTAGTATCAGTTCAACAGTAAATATACAATAAGAGCAAACTTGACTGTTGAAGTGGTGTCCAGCAGCAAGATTAATTGCACATACGAGTAAACAGTGTGTTGCACATTGCCACCATATTGAGTGTTACGTGAGGTTATCATGCTGAGACGATCTCAGAGTTTTGCAGAGAAACACAAAGTTGTTATCATGTTACAAGTCGCAGAAACGGTGGAGATTTTACAAGCATGGTCCAGGTAAAGCGACAGTGAACACACCAGTGCAGATGTCATTCGTTAACTACCGCAGTTTTGTTTTGAAAGGCTATGTCATCAACACGCCTCCCTTAACGCAGCAACTTTATATAACATAGTCTACTACTGATAGAGAAAGTCACCGGGGCAGACATACAGGGAGAGAGACAGAAAGAAGCGGGGTACTCTGACGTGTTTACTACAACGTTAGGTCTGTGACCATGGGGAAAAGAGAACTGAAGTGAAAGGAGGCAGAACCAACAAAATCAGCAAAATTGGTGACCTTCACCATAGCAGCAAAGCATACATGCACACTCCTTCATTACAGCACACACTCCCCTCCCTACTCACCAGTGTAGTCTTCACGGCAGATACAGGTATACCCTCCTTCTCTGCGGGCGCACACCCCTCCATTCAGGCAAGGGTTGGAGTAACACAGGTTGATCTCCGTCTCGCAGTAATCACCCGTGAAGCCAACTGGACAGCGGCAGCGTAGGCCTGCGATGGGGTGAATGGGCCGGAACAAGATGGAGGGCGAGGAGATGAAGGGGGCAGAGCTGTTGAATCGCAGCACTGAGATGCACTTCATGTAGTTCTGGCACGGCTCACGTAGACACACATTGTCGTCAAATGGTAGGACCTGGAGTGATGGGAAAGGGCAGAGAAAGACAAAGATTTTTGTTACTGTGTCAACCTGTAAACAGTAATTTACTGTTGTAGGTGTTCCAGGTGAAAACCAAATTCAGATTTGCTCCTGCGACATTGAGGGTGTTTTGTCATCATTCTTTCTGACAAGCTGAAACATGCAATGGGCTTTTTCTTACAGCTAAACTACATTAGTGCTACTAACATTAGCCTAGTGTTGGTTCTTTTCCATTTGATGTTCCAGTAAGCCATGCTAGCATGCTGGGTCATATCACAACTTTATTCCTGTTACCTTAATTATGGAAGTGTAATTGACTGACGCTACAAATTGAAGACATTTTGCTGTAATAAACTATGTTGTTTAACTAAACATAAACACTATGTTACTGTTTTAAACAGTAAACAGAAAAGTATTTCAACAAAAAGTGTGCAGTACACGTGGTTTCTTTTGGATGGAGTGAACATGGACAATGGCCTGGACTGGTGTTTGATATCTGGCCTGATTTATTATCCCAATCCCACTTTTGGTATAATCATAATACATTGTACTCCTCATAATAAAGACTGCTCAACACTGGACTTGAACATATACAAAACCCAACACATTAATTTACAGTGACCTTGATAAAACCAGTGAAAGGGTGTAAATTCTTAAAATATATAAACTATGCACAAAAAGCAAGGAAATTTGTGTTTGGTAGATTATTTCTTTGTTGTAACAATGCTTCTAGGCAATAAATCTTGATGAAAAGCCTGATTATTAAGTGGTGCCACATTTGTAAGGAACATGCATTTGTGGGATGAGCAGCATAGCTGAGTATGTCGGTTGCTTCCATGAAAAATTTGCCAAACAGCTGTTCAGAAAGCTAGTTTCAGAAAACTATATAAAATAACAACTCTTTAACTTTATAAAATAAATAACTACGTGCAAATATTACAGTAGCTAACCTTGCTGACAAACCTTTCCTCTGCGAATGCATAACTTTACCCCTCAAAATCCCCCTACTAAAGCCTCCTTGGATAATTTACTAAAATAATTTACCTCCCTAAGACTTATTACTATTGGCAGTCTTTTTTATTTTACTTTTATTTATTTATTTATTTGCCCCTGTGTTGCTTTGGAAAACCAACAACTGTCCAGAAGAGGGTTACTGTTTGCAGTATTTTTAGATAGGAAGAGAATATAGATTCAGTTTGCATTTGTTTATGTGTGTTTGTGTGACACTATCTGTTGAGAGAAGGCCATATACATTCTGCCTTAAACTATGTATCTCTTGACACTGCTGTCCTTCCTCAGCCCTGTGTAAGCATGTATGTAACAGATGTGGATGCTGCTGTGTCCAGGTGTGTGTGATTTCATGCATGAGCACGCAGATAATGGTCATTGAGTGTATTGCTGCATATGTCATATGGATGCACTGGCATAGGCATCTGTGTTGTGTTATTATCGGTTCACATGCAATATGCACAGGTAAGTGGCTTGAGATGCTTGTGTATTTGCACATTGTGTCTTCTACTTTGGCTTCACATGTAACACTGAGACCATTTTCCATTTGTGTAGACATGTGATTGACTTTTTTCATAGAACGTTCATTATGTGCCCATGTGTCTGTCCGTATGTGGATGAAAATAAACTAGTTACAGAATTAAACGCATTTCACAAAAAGAAAATAAGAATTTAAAACGTGTTTGTATCAATCAATATTGAGGGCCCATTCCATAATCTAAATGTAAAAGGGAAGGAGTGCCCCAAAACCAAACATGAAAACACAAGATTGAGCTTCCTGTCTGTCTCATAACGATTAAGAGGTCCTTTAAAACACCAACTAACAGTAGATTAGGGCTGTCCCCGACTAAGGATTTACATAGTCAAATCAGAATCGTCCTGCCTATAGACGACTGATAGTTGAATGTTGTGTTCCTTTTTGCCCACTGCACACACACACGCTACGCCTACACATGCGCACCGACGACCCAGGGTTAGGGTTACAATTTTGGATTTATTTACGCACTTTAAAAACATTTATTGAAAGTTTTATTCTTTTTACATGTATATTTACAGCATTAAACGTTGGAATGTATATTGTAATAGGCTGTATATTAACTCATTGGGAGAAAACTGGTAGTTCTATGTAAAATCAGACGTTGAGACGATATCGCCAAAATGGCATGATCCTTGTTTCACTGCAAAGCTTCGACAGTGAGATTGACAGTCAAATCAGGCTGCGCCCATCGAAGCATCGTATCTTTGACTATTCGGGGTCAGCCCTACAGTAATAACTAAATCTATACTCATAACAAAATGTCTTGTGATGCAGTTGGATCACAATGTTTGTAAACCATGTAGCAAGCCCCTGTTACAGAATCATAAAAATGCTCTTGATATATGCTGTAAAAATGTAAGATTGGGCCTTTAAATTTGATTCACATGCATGTTAAACTTTCAAATTTTATATTATTTTATGTTATGAATTCACAGAGTGGTTATATACACTAACACTACTTTAAACTTGTATTGTGCTTGTACTTGTAAATGTGTACTAACCTCCATCTGTGTCAGTGATGTCAGCCTCAGCCTGTTAAGGTACAGCTGTTCCTCCAGGGCCTCAGAGGGGAAGAAAAGTCCACCCGGCAGTGCGGCAGAGAAGCTGACATTCAGGATTCCTCCCGGCGCTGCGTCCAGGTCAGGCTGGATGTTAAAGATGAAAACATCTTCAACAGGCACCGAGAGCACCGCCGACACGCCCTCCAGGAAGTTACCCAGCAGCGGTGACAGAAAGTGCTCCTGGGACATGTTCTGGAGGCGGACAGTGACACTGCTGCCGAGCATGTCCTCGGTGATGATGAGGACGCGGAGAATGCACTGGGCTGAAATGCTGTGGACGCCATCTGCAGAATTAAAGAAAAAAGGCTAGGTGAATGGTTAGATAAAAAGGCATGGTCATTTTCTGAAATACACTTCATTGTTAGAATGGATTTTAAAATTCTTTAATCATAATTATGTTCCAGTAAAAATAAAACTAAACACAGATCCTACTGAAATCTACATTTGTTCATGAGCCATGAAGTTTGTTTCAGGTCTTGTCCATGTGATTGAATAGGCCACAGAGAGAGAGAGAAATGAATCATTTAGAAAAATCATTCATCACCCCTGTCTCCTCACATTCAGCTTTGGTTACAATGACAACACGGCTTTGCTACAAAATGAGTTCAAATGAATTGCAACACAACGGACACAAGACATATTTAGTCTACGCTACATACAAACACAATCCAGTGCTGGGCTGTGATGTATATTGTAAAGCAATTTGGTGCAACAGGCTGGCTAATAAGCCATAAAAAAATACAAATACACATGACAACACTGGCATGAGGAGGAAATTTTCTGCAGCGGCACTGAGGAGTTGTAAAGGTGAAACAGGGTTAAAGATAAGACAGAGACAGACAGAAAGAGTGAAAAACAATACGCCAGAGATCTTGATGCAAAAGCAGCATAGCAAGAGGTGGAAAGAAAGAGAATGAAAGAAGCATGGCAGTGATGGATGGAGGGGGAGGCTGTAGAGGGGAAGGAAAAAACCAGAGAGGTGATGGAGGGGGAAGGAGAGTGAAGGTTTATTAAAAACTGCAAAAAGCAAAGGAGACGATGGAGGCGGACGATGGCCTTAAATCAGGGATTAATCAATACAAAACACAATAAAAAATTGAAAATAGAAAATCAACAATAATTTACTACTTTAACTACTGTCAATGTATATGATTGATTATTGATTCACATATTTTCCTTTGCTAATACTGTAGTAAAAAAATTTAGGTTAGTAAATTGATGAAATGGTTTGTGCAAATTATTTAATTCACTGTTTACCCTCATTTACAATTTATTACTCATTTAGTGTTGGCATAAATAAAAAGAAGTAATTTGTAATTATTAAATGTTAGAGAAGGAAATTAGAAAAGACAAAAAAAGAGCAAGACATAGAAACACAGAAATATAAAGACAAAGAAATTCAGAGAGAAAACCGGAATAAATGGAGGAAGAGACAGAAAGAGATTGAGGAAAAAAAGAGAAAGAAATATGTGTAAAGGGATGGGGGTTGGGTCGGGTGGCAGCTGGTTTGATTACCGGATTATGAGGAGCCTCACTCCCTACTGACCTCTAACACACATGCACACACACATGCACACATACTACAATCTTCTTAATAAACAAACAGCCAGAGGAGAAAAACTCCCACAGAAAATAATCAGGGAACTTTTTAATAGAATGAGATAGATAGATAGATAGATAGATGTTTGAGCACTTAGGCTCAGTGAATGAATGGTGAATGCAGATGCCGTGTAAAAGCGCTTTGAGTGGTTATATGCGCTATACAAATACGGCGCATTTAGATTTACCGAGCATTGATAGTTTAGCACGTCTGACATACAGTATTATGTAGCGTAATTAAATGTCACCTCGTCTTCTGGGGCTAAAAGCCAGCTTTATTATCAGCCCTCTGGATCACTATGCAAATATGCAGAAATTGAAACTTAACCCCCATTGTCATTGAAATGAGACAAGGATCTATGAAAAGAACTGGGATAATCTGAAGGAGTAGGACCCACACACACATACATCACAAATCCACATATTCAGTCTACTTCTGTAGGCTATATATACAAAAATACACTTCTGAGAACCATAATTGACATCGTGCTACATGCAGCAGCACATCAGCCCAAGGTCACTCCATTACTCTGTGACCTTCACTGGCTACCCATGGCCTCCCGAATCAAATTCAAGTCACTAATGCTTGCATACAGAGCTACTACTGGGTCTGAACCAATCTATCTAAACTCCATTATACAAGCTTACGTTCCTTCTCGGCCACTGCGCGCCTCCAACGAACGCCGCCTGGCTCTGCCATCCCTACACACAACGCAATCCCAGTCCCGGCTGTTCTCATCTGTAACACCACGAGCTACCACATGCCATCAGAGCAGAGGTGTCCCTCTAACTTCAAGAAGTGAAATGTACAAACGAAAGTTACTCATAATACCTAGTAAAACAGCAAAAGTTTACATTTTTATGCTAAGCTAAGCTAAACATGGCTCTAGCTTCATATCCAGTGCTTGAAGTGAGCCGGTACTCACCGGTACGCAGTACTGGCACTTCTACATTTTATTTTTTTGTGTACATAGAGAAAGTCTTAGATCTTTGAGTTCAGCTCATGATGAATGGGGGCAAAAAGTGTTTATAATTTTGTTCAGTGTACATTACACCTGTAAGACTGTTGATGTGTCATTTTGGATGGAGACCTTTCATATCCAGAACTTAATCCAGAGGCATCTGGTCTGTCTCTGTGGAATATAAAGACATGAAGAAATTGTAGAATTACTTTTGTATCCTGGTGAGAGGTGAATTAAGGTGATCTTGTCCATAACTTCCCAATAAGTCAGCAAGTCATAACTAATGTATCGCCCCTTGCCACTCAGCTTTAGTGTGCATGGAAACAATAAATTATTAATAACATCCTAACTCACAAATGGAAGATTATTTTGGTATCTTTGGCACAACGGGAAAACAAAGCATTTCGTAAATAACAATTCAGAGTCGCTTCAGCGATCATTCACTGCTTCTGTGGGCTTCCAGCCAACATTTTCCCCTTCATGTGTCCACACTTCAAAGAGGGAGTAGAGCTTGGGGCTGCCATGCATAAAGCCTCTAAGAATAAACACACTGGTCTGGAATCATCAGCCAGGTCCCATGGATGCGTGAACATCAATGCGCTGTGAAAGAGAGGCAGGCCTCCGATCAGTGCTCTGGCTCGAAGATGCTTTGTGGGTATACAGTCCCTGGTGTTTCAAAGGGTTGAGGGAGTTCAGTGCTATCTCTCTGTGCCAGGTAGCCTGACTAATAGCACACTCATATTCTTGAATGTCAGAGCATCCCAAGCTCGCTTCCTGGAAATCCAGATGGAAATTGTCTGCAAAGTAGAGTACAATAGAAGCCCGCAGCTGGAGCCCGGAAACATTTTTAAAAGCTGCAATACAGGGCAGGATGGGTCATAAGGCAGAGCCCTGGCATTATCCTTTGAACAAGAAAGCAAGAAAGTCACAGCCAAAAAAAAAAAAGCTTCATTATTTTGCCTAAAAATCTCACAAAAATCACAGATGCTTTGAAATCAAAGGGGAACACACTTTTGTGGTTTCAGGACGCTGCTTGGTGTCGTGCTCGGGGACACATTAGTCACACAAACTTCTATTCATAAACACACGCTGTGTCCCAATGTGCAGATTCTGACTATACAGTGTGTTCACACTGTAAAACAACAAAAACAAAAACATAGGTATTATAAAAAAGCCCCCAAAAAACACTTGATTTTGAATGTGTTGTTGAAACTGTGAGGCTTAATCTAATTGAAATTGTGAAGGATCCAAGCAGCATCATTATTCTTTCTTTCTTTCCAACTGACCTGAAACTTTGGCAGGATTATCTATAGACTTTTCTGGTATAAAGTTATCAAAATTATTTTCAATCTGCCTCACCAAAACCTATGGTCAATTCAGAAGTCTGTCACTCTACATTTTTCAGAATATGCTATATCAATTAACATCTATATCTCCACAAGTCTTCATTCAAACACTACCAAAATCAACACAGGCATTCTGTAGATAGCAGATATCAAGTGTGTGGGTCTGCAGTGATATTTATTATCTTTCTGTAACTTTTGACTGTTTCAAGCATTTTAAGTTTAAACTAATAATAACAATATCAGGCTAAGACATGTGATGTCATTGTCTTAACTTGTGAGAAGGTGAACAAAAACCAACTCTCACCAGTGGCTCCACCAGTAAGTCACCTACTCTGGGGATATTACGATCCAACAATGCCAACAGTGGGAGTGTTCAGATCCCGTGACACTTTCTCTGCTAAATAGTGTTTGTACATTAACCTTAAAACATGGAATTTGGCAGGAGGGTTGAACATTTCACCCACTAGTCAGGTACATAAAATGACACTCTCTGACCTCAAGGTGATGCTGTAAATCTCAAGCTTGCATTTCAGCAATTATCTAAAAAAAAGTTTCAAGTAGTAGTAGTTTCAAGTCCAAATTCTTTAATCATTTTAATCCTTTAAAGGAGACCTATTATACTGCATTCTGTGATGTTCTGTGACTCCTGTATGGCAGCTTTGCATGATTCAAAGTTCAAAAATATAATTTTCTGTCTTATACTGGCCCTTCATGTAGGGCTTTATTTCAGCCTCTGTCTGAAACAAGCTGTAGATACTCCTGCCTCTTTAAGGGCCCCCCTCTCAAAGCCCACTGTCTTCTGATTTGCCAAGACCTGAAGCATGTTACCAGGCTGTTGTTGGTGAGTGGTACACGCTGTACCACGCTGAGTGGTACAGACAGACTGAGCTAGCTGTGCGGAGCAAATGACCATCTATGGAATACCGGCTCCGTCTAGCTCCGTGTGTCTATAACAGAGCCCTTAGTAGAAAAAGCTATTAAAGAATAGAGCGTTCAGAACAGGAGGAAATCTGAGGTTTTGGCTCACAGGGATTTATTCCAAATACTTTAACGTCATTATTTGAAGCTTTGACCATATTTAAATGAACATCCAACATTGTAACATTGTAGATAAGTCATAAAATCTGGAAAAGCATAATAGGTCTCCTGCATCTGGTCTTCTCCTCTGAAAATGTCAAATGTTGCATTTTTCACAACTTAACTGGATCCCGATCTGTGCCGCTAGCGTCTACATTCTAATTTAAAAAATTTCTTGTTTACTAACAGTATACTGTGACAATTAGTGTATCACATAGCATGGCCTATATAATTAGTATGTATTATGGAAAGGGGACACACATCTGTTGTCTGTGTTGAGGGTTTCAAGATAGTCTATAA